CCGCAGAATCAGGTCTTAAGGGGAAGTCGGTTGCTATCACTCCTACTCCAAACTCAACTCCGGTTTTGGCAATTGGGAAAAATCGATGGAGTAAGAGAAAGAGATCCTCGAAGGGTACCAAGGCTCAGACCCTTGATGGCTCTTCTTCAAGTGGAACTAAGAAAGGTTTCGTCACTCCTTCTTTTGACCCAAAAGAGGCTGAATGCTTCTATTGTCATGAAAAATCTCATTGGAAGCGGAACTGCCCAAAATACCAGCAGGATGTGAAGGATGAGAAAGTCAACCCAACCATGCAGGTATTTACACTATCATTTCTAATAACTCACCCCATTCTAAATTTTGGGTCCTTGATACCGGTTGTGGTATTCATATTTGGTGTGACTTGCAGGGACTAAGAAGAAGTGAGAATGTGGAGCAAGGAAGAATAAACTTGATCATGGGGAATAGGAAAGTTTCACCTATCACCAAGATTGGAGTTTATACTTTATCGCTAAGTAGTGGGTTTAATTTAGAATTGAATAAATGTTGTTATTCGCCAGGAATGGCAAGAAATATTATTTCCTTTCATGCTTTGTACAAACAAGGGTTTACCTTTTCATTTAATAATGAAGTTGGTTCTATTGATGCTTTCTATAATAATGTCTTTTATTTTAAATCATTACCTTGTGATGGTGTGTATGAAGCTGTATCTGTTGTAGATAACTTAGGAAATAATGTTTTGTGTATTGATTCTACTAATAATAATAACTTCGATAAAGCATCATTATGGCATTGTCGTCTTGGACATATAAGCAAGAAACGCATAGGCCAACTCCAAAAGGATGGAGTCTTGGAGTCGTTTGACCTAAAGTCAGATGATAGTTGCGAATCATGCTTACTTGGAAAAATGACAAAGTCACCCTTCACAGGCTCGTGTGAGAGGGGTGAAGGTTTGTTGGACCTTATACACACGGATGTGTGTGGACCATTCAAACATGCCACAAGGGATGCTAATCGTTATTATTTGACTATTACTGATGATTACAGTAGATATGGATATGTCTACTTAATCAAGCATAAGTCAGAGACTTTCGAGAGGTTTAAGGAATTTAAACAGGAAGTCGAGAATCAATTGGGCAGGAACATTAAGATGCTTCGATCTGATCGAGGAGGTGAGTATCTTAGTTCAGAGTTCCTCGACTATCTTAGGGAATGTAGGATTGTCTCACAATTGACGCCTCCCAGGACACCACGGTTGAATGGTGTAGCTGAGAGGCGTAATCGAACCTTGTTGGACATGGTTCGTTCCATGATGAGTCGAGCTACGCTACCAATCTCATTCTGGGGGTATGCCTTAGAGACTGCCGCCCATATTCTTAATCTTGTCCCTACAAAGAAAGTTGCCAAAACTCCTCACGAGATGTGGAATGGTAAAGTACCTAAGCTAGACCACATCAAGATTTGGGGTTGCGAGGCTTTCGTGAGACGCGAGACTCATGATAAGCTCGAACCTCGAAGCGAGAGGTGTATTTTCATCGGCTACCCACAGCAATCCTTTGGTTACCTCTTCTACAGACCTAGTGATAATGTGGTCTTTGTAGCAAGAAGAGGAGTTTTTCGAGAGAGAGAATTTATAAGCCAAGGAAACAGTGGGAGGCAAATTGATCTTGAAGAAATTCAAGAGTCAAGTGGTGAAGGAACTTTAAACCCTAGCCCTCAACTTGAGGAGGAAACTCCTGTTGAGCCAGCTGATGTGCCTGTACCTCTTAGGCGTTCCACGAGAGTTAGGAATGCACCTGAGCATTATTATGGATTTCATATTACTGCGGAAGGTGAGACACTTATTAGTGATGAGACACTAGTAGGTCTGGATGAACCTAACAGCTACACGGAAGCCATGGCAGGCCCTGAGGCTGCTAAATGGAAAGAGGCCATGGATAGCGAGATACAATCCATGTATGACAATCAAGTTTAGAACTTGGTTGAGAATGTACCTGGTCGTAAGACTGTAGGGTGCAAATGGATCTTCAAGAAGAAGACCGACATGGATGGTAATGTACACACTTATAAGGCACGACTGGTTGCAAAAGGTTATTCTCAAACTCCGAGAGTTGATTATGATGAAACCTTTTTACGAGTGGCCAAGATAAAATCTATTAGGGTTCTGTTAGCCATAGCTGCGTTTCATGACTATGAAATATGGAAAATGGATGTCAAAACCGCTTTCCTTAATGGAAAGTTGGCTAAGGATGTTTACATGGTTCAGCAAGAGGGTTTTGTCAGTACAGAGTACCCTAATAGAGTGTGTAAACTCGAGAAATCCATTTATGGATTGAAACAGGCACCTCGCAGGTGGAATCTTTGCTTTGATGAGAAAGTCAAGGAATTTGGTTTTTCAAGGAGTGAAGATGAATCTTGCGTCTATATCAAGGCTAGTGGGAGGATAGTCAGTTTTTTGGTACTGTATGTGGATGACATACTACTCATAGGAAATGACATCCCAACCCTGCAGGAAGTTAAATCCTGGCTTGGGAAGTGTTTCGCTATGAAGGACCTTGGTGAAGCTGCCTATATCCTAGGGATAAAGATTTTGAGAAACAGGAGTAAAAGGCTAATTGGACTTAGTCAAAGTACCTACTTGGACTAAGTGTTGAAAAGATTCAACATGCATAACTCCAAGAAAGGAGAGTTACCCATTCAGTGTAACGCCAGATTGAGTAAGAGACAAAGCCCTAGTACTGAGGCTGAGATAGCAGAAATGAGTCGATTTCCATATGCTTCAACTGTAGGATCGATCATGTATGCTATGACGTGCACTCGACCTGATGTAGCCTTTGCTTTGAGCACGGTTAGCAGGTATCAGGCAAACCCTAGCAAGGAACACTGGACAGCGGTAAAAAATATCCTCAAGTACCTACAAAGGACTAAGGATTGGGTCCTTACCTTCGGTGGGAGTGATGACTTGAGAGTTGTAGGGTATTGTGATGCTAGCTTCCAGACTGATAGGGATAATTTCCGCTCTCAGTCAGGCTGGGTCTTTACCCTAAATGGAGGAGCAATCTCTTGGAAGAGTTCCAAGCAGGAGACAGTGGCTGATTCCACTTGTGAATCAGAGTATATAGCGGCAAGCGAGGCAGCAAAGGAGGCGATATGGCTAAAGAACTTCATCGGAGACCTTGGAGTTGTAGCAGCTATAAAAGAGCCAATGGAGATTTTCTGTGACAGCAATAGTGCGGTTGCCTTAGCCAAGGAACCAAGAGATCACGGGAGATCCAGACACATCGACAGAAAATACCATTTTATCAGACATCGAATCGAAGAAGGACTCCTCGTGGTGAAGAGGGTATCATCGGATGAGAACCCAGCAGATCCCCTCACGAAGGGACTGAGTAGGGTTAAGCATCTCCAGCATGCTCGGAGCATAGGGCTGAAGGATGATATAAGTTTTAGTAGTTAGATAACCCGGAAATTTGTAAAGTGTAATTGACATTTGATGATGAATAAAAGGTGTTTTATTTATGAGTAAAGTGTTACTATCTCTTGTCGATCTTTTACTATATTTCTTTTGCATGTTTTGACTTCCAGAATAATTTTTGTTTGGTGTAACATATTATTCAAACCTCCACAGTCGGTCATATGTCGGAAGTATGTATGAATCAAGACTGTCATGATGGGTTGTAGAGGTCTAAGGTGTTGGACAAGGCTACAACAATCATGAGTGCTCATAAGTTCTGAGCATTGGACTCAACCCACGCTCACTGGAATCACTTCATGGAATTTTATCTCGAGTGATCGTGAGACGGTAATATCATATAAGTCTTCAAACCTAGAGATATGATTTGTTACTTACGAGTTGGTTATGCATTGATTGTACGTAAACGCATTGGTAACTCGATGTTATAAAACGTGCCTTTGTGTGTAATTCAATGAGTGGTAGAACAAACATATGAGTCGAAGTTTATCTGTTCCTTCTTGGATTAGAAGCTGATATCTGGGCCCCTCGATGATTTTGTTTTGACCTATGTACCGGGCCCGGTCAGAACTAAATTGATGTGTTCAGTTAAGTTCTATGTCAAACAAATCGGAAATCGGGAAACAAATGCTGGACAATAAGCAAGACAATGTTCCATGTGTTTGTCCGGCTGATATCTAGAACAGAGGATTATATGATCACTTATCTGAATGGCGCGTTCAAGTTCAACAGAGTTTAAAGAGCTACGAGTGCTGATCGGTTCCTGAAGTTATACTTGCAAATATAGTTACTAGACTTATCCAAGTGGGAGACTGTTGGATATAGTGTCTAAGTCCATAACTATATTTGGTATGTACTTGACCCGACCCGGCATGGTCCATTTGGGTTGCACTTCACCCGAACAATTTATGGATAATATTTGAGAATAGTACAAGTTATGATTTATTAATATATTATAAGTTCTAATATATTAATATAAGATCATATTATTTAATTAGTAGTGATCTATAATTAATCTAGGATTAATTTAGTGATCAAAGATATTACTAATTAAATATGGGCTTTTATATTTATATAGTGTGGGCTTATGCTTATTTGGAATGGGCTAGGCTTGGATGGAGAAGTCCATGGATACTCCATGGAGCTTTAACCCATGGATCTCATGGAAATGAAGAGACATGGGTATTAGGGTTTACATGGATGTAACCCTAATCCACCACACTATATAAAGGAGGCTTTGGCTCTTGAAATCAATCTAGTGGATACTAGTTGACACTTGTTGAGGTGAGGGCCGATTTCAAGAGAAGTGGTGACTATTCTCTCAAAGTTCCAAGTTTGTGGTGATTTGTGACTTTCATTTGAGGCATCCACACTATTGGTGCTAGGCTCAAAAACTCCAAGCAATCAACTACAACTTCAAGGTAAGTATTTATACTAGCTTTATTTGATTCATGTTCCCCATGTCATGCTAGTTAGGATATAAGCCTTGGAAAAATAATTATTTGCATGTATCTTAGACAAACATAGATCCAAGGTTTATTAGGGTTGCATGTACACTAAGGAAGTGTTAGAATGCTCAAAACCCAACACATATGACATCAACAACTACGACATTTACAGCTCCCAATGGACTCAATTCAAAAGCTTTCCCAAAGTAGACTTTTGGACCCAAATCACGAGCCTAGAGAAGTTCAATCCCAGTCGCCAAAAAGACCCCTTTATCATCCATCCTTGCTGGAGAATTGCCCACCGGATCCCATCCACTTCTGTCTTTGCTCGTCACGAGCCAGGACAAATCAACACCGTTGAGTTGTATTTTCTCTATTGCATGTCGAGCCAACATTGGTCTTTCCCCAATTTCGCCACCTTTTTTTTAGACAAATGTGACAGCCTCAGGACGAAGACCACTGGTGACATTTGTATTGGAGGTCTCATTACCCTCATTGGTTTGGGTATGGGCCTTCAATTTCCAGAATCTGAATATGTACGAGTGAATGATCCACCTCTCTACCTTCTCGATTGCATTACTCTCATCCGGATGGAATTACTGCTACCTCATCCTACTCTTCTTGGACATTTTTCTTGGCTCAACCATGTCAAGGACCCAGTTTACATCTTACCCAATCCAAGTATCTCCACCTTCACCACCGATGACCCTGAAACATGGTTTTTGCCTCAAGAGTTGCCAGACGATGATGATGCAGCCACAGATGATGACATGCAGGTGGACCCTGACAATGTTGTTAGCCCATTCGAGGCTGGAGACCATTATGATCTCCTGATCCGCCAGTTGCCTCCACCTCATCCAGGTCAAGCCTCCGGGTCACACTTTCAGCCCTCGGGAGAACACTTCCAGACACAACATGATTACCACTCATACTAGCAACACAATGAGCCCGACCCTGCACATGAGTTTCCTCTCGATATTTACAGCCAGCTTGCTTCCTTGCGCCTCGAGGGCAATAGGAACACCGCAGCCATCCACCACATAGAGGAACAACAAGCACGCACCCACACTTACATGGAGGACCTTGGTATCATTTACGACCCGAGGGCGGTTATCCTCCTTGCGGGCCTCCTCCATCTTGATCCCGGTTTGATCCTTCCTTATTTTCATCCTAAGCATTGAGGACAATGCTTAATTTTAAGCTTGGGGTGAGGTAATTTAATTTAAAAAAAAAACATATTGCATTTTTTTTCTTTCTTTTCTAATTTTCATACTTTTTAGATGCACTCTAGGTTAAGTTCATGCATTTTTGTTCTCTCTTGTCTTCTCATCCCTACAGATACCATAGGGCCGAGTCATAAGTATTGAATCATAGATTGGTCCCAGGTCTTGATATGGAATTCCTTGTATTTGATGAATCGGACACGTTTTGGGCCTCACAGACCACTTTGAGACTGCTTGTGTGGGGTCAGATGCAGGTAGCTTGATTGCATCTAGGTGCGGAGGGATGTGGTTGGTCATGCCAATGTGTGCGAGCAAAGACTAGCCCGGTAAGGTATTTTGAAGAGATTGAAGATATTGAAGACTCGCATCTTGGTTTTGGAGGGAGTACCCCTTAGTAATCCCGAGTCTCGTCCGAGCCTTGCTTAGTTAGATTCTCACCACCTTTTTAGGATAGGTTATCATTTTTCTAGGGGTCTAGAGTAGATAGTTATATAGATTTTGTTTATCACTCCTTGCATTGAGGTGCTTGATGAACTTTGAAGTGGGCCCCCCAATTCATATCTTTTGGGACCAAGTCTTTTCGGTAACACCCATTTTTGATTCATTCCCTACCCTTTTTAGTTGATCTTGGCACATTGTCAATGATCATTAGGTGTTCATATTAGCCTCTATCTATCACTCAAATTTCACTATTGGAGTCCTATGTTACTTGGTGAATTCCTTAGACCTTCCAAGAAGCAACAAAAAGAATGAAAATTTTTGAAAAAGTGAAGACAATAAGAGCCTATTAAAGATGATTCAAGAAAAGCAACAAAAGCAAAGAAGAGAAAAGAGCTACACAAAAAGAAGAACAAGATTCCAAGTTCAAGACTCATGTTATATATATGATTCGGAAAAAAAATGTCAAGCAGCAAATGTGATTGAAGACCCAATAACAGAAGTTCAAGATTGAAGATTTAGGTTGTTAGGTTTAGATTTAGGATAAGTAGTGTTTTTATTATTTCATTTTATTTTATTTTTGGTGAGAAAACTCCCCGATGATGAGACGGTAGACTGTAAAGGACAGTACAAGGGAAAAGCCTCTGAAACCGGATGTTTGCCTGGAGGCCGTGCTGCAAAACCCTATTTCATTATTATACATTTTGGCCTGACAAATGTTGGAATCATAGTGTGTGAAGAGGCTCCTTTCCTTCGTGCACTATGGTCTACATTGGTGATTTAAAGTTCCCCCACTGGGCGCATCTCTGTTTCCTTTGTCTTGCACCCCGCGACTACATCCAGTCGTGATCTATTCGCCCATCAAGTGGTTAAGAATGTGGTTTATGGTTCTAAAGCGGGGAACATTTTGAAGATGTGTAGGGGCCATTGAAGGACTAATTCTGATCATGTTGACTGATGTTGACCAAGTTCTATAGTATCTTTCTTTTTCCTTTTTAGATAGTTATCCTGAGCTCATTTTTAGTCTTGTTCTAACTTGAGGACAAGTTAGGTTTAAGCTTGGGGTGATTTCATAGCTTATTTTATTTCCTTATTTTTATTAGTTTATTTAGATTTTTAGATCTTTTTATCATTAATGCATTGTAATTTATTTATTTTTCTTTAGTATGGATTATACCGGATGCTTGTTATGTTGCATGAGATATTTTGTAGCTTTTTCGGTGGTTGTTGCGGTTGTAGGTTGATTGGAGACGGGCTTAGTGGGCTCCGGAGGCATTATTGGGCTTGGCGGAATCAAAGAAGAAGAATTGGGCTTTGAAAGTTATTGACTTGGATTATTTGGGCTTGTGAAGATAAATCATAAAATTCTAATTTTGGGCTTGGAGCATCCATTTGGTGGCTAAATGATGATTGGTGCATTTCAAATTACATGGACAAGGGGGGACCAAAGGAATATTTGGTATTGGAAGGGGTGGAGTGGTGGAATGAAGGACCAATAGCATTACAACAACATTTGCGCGGGTGAAATTTTGATCGCGCGGGTACCCGCGCAACTGCCCAGTTTGGGCATTTTCGTCATTTGGCTTGCCATAACCTGGGGGGATCAGATGTAGATGCTCATTCACGATTTTCCACCATTGGAGACCTTCAAGAGGCGATTTTGGGAGCTTGAAACCATTTCCTTTCATCTTTCCAAATCTTAGGTAATTTCTTTATGCAATTAGATTATTGTTCTTTTTACTTTGTTGCCATGAGTGGCTAATACTTTTATTTGGTTGACTTTGGCTGAAAACCAATGAATGTTTGTGTGTTTTGAAGGATTTATGTAGATTACCAATTTATTCCATGTTTATGATTCTAGTTTAGAATTCTTATGCTTATTTGATGGCTTTGATCATGAGCTTAATATTTGATTGAGCAATGGTTGATGATTTATTTCATTGATTTTGCATTGGATCATTGAATTTATCTAGAACAAAGGCTTTATGATGGTAGAAATCATCTGTAGCTTATGAATCATAGCTCCATTATGGATGTGTAAGCATTTGACATCATCTAGGAAATTGGGGATTCCTTCATTCTTAAGGCTAATTGATTTCTTGGGATTAATTGCTTCAATTGACCCTTGATCTTAATTAAGAAGGTGTGTTGTGGGCTTCCCCAACCTCCATACTACCTATGAGGAATCTTGGCATATCATGCTTCATGATTGCTATAACCAATTTGGGATGAAGGATAAGCTTTGTATTAGATCCTAATGATAAACACACAAATGTTCATTGTGTTGAATTGCCTTAGTTAACCAATTATTCTCAACCTTTGACCATCTCATCAACTTGCTTACTTGCAAGGTTTTTAGTTATTCAAGTATTTTAGTTTTAAAGTAATCAAACACCGCCCCCTCTTTTAGTTTAATTGTAGTTAGTTTAAATTTCATTAGTTCTATTAGATTGCATTGGTGATTGAATACTGTAACAACCCGAAATTTCATATCACTTCTTGTACCTCAACTTGTAATTCAATTTGATCAACCAAACGCCGTTTTCAAATTCGTTTCCGATTTCGCCATTTTATTAAGTGATTAGTTTATATCAACCTAAAATGACTTAATGGGTGTCCTAATACATTTAGAAATCATTTTAACACCCCACTTTAGTGATCGGAATAATTATAGAATCGACCATATCGAGTCACGACAATTTGGTCGGGTATGACCAAAAGCCCCACTTAACGTCGGTATCGGGTAGAATTCCGTCGTGTCCAATTCCCGAACACTATATAAAGTGTTTTAAGACTTCATTTGAAGCCTTTGGCCAATTTCCCATTAAACTCTCACAACCTCTCTCCTTAAGCTAGAATTAAGGTCCAAATCTCAAGTTTAAGGCTTCAAATCCTTGAGGTAACCTCCCTAGCATGTTATTCAACATCTTTAGCCTTCAATTTGATGAATTATTTGAGTTTTGGGACCAAGAACATGAGTTTACAGCCAAGGAGCAAGCTTGGGCCGTAAACTCCATTAAATGGGGTTTTTAAGCCAAATTACCCTTCCAAATCAAAGTTGGGACTTAGATATGACTATAAGGCTTGCAAATTTAGACTTAAATCAATTAAAACATGAATTATGAGGGACAAAAGAGAGTTTATGGCCAAGGTATGTTCTTGGGCCGTAAACTCCTCTTTAATGGGGATTTAGTGCCTTTAATCATGTCCAAATGCTTTCAAACTCAACCAATGGCCTTGTGGTAAATCCTAGATTCATCTAAAAATGATTTGGAGACCATAATCACAACAAATGCCCTACATAAGTGAGTTTACGGCCAAAGAACTCCTCCTAGGCCGTAAACTCCTATAAGTGTGTCAAATGATGTCTTAAACCACCCTAAAGGCTTGGAAAAATTTCTAGAATTACATATGAATGTTTTAAGAATCAAAAACTAATTTTTCAAGAGCATAAGAAGAGTTTACGGCCATAGAACATGCCTTTAGGCCGTAAAATCCTCAAAGTTTGTTAAATGGTAACCTAAATTCATAACAATGCTTAGAAAATTAGTTAGAATCACATGTGATTGTCCTTTGTAGTTCAAATTAATCATTCTTGGCCATGGGTGAGTTTACAGCCATAAACTCCAAGAGTGTGGCCGTAAACTCCCTTTTAAATGATGTTAATTCATTCCAAGTGTTCCAAAGCATTTTAGATATCCATTCTAGCAATCCCCATGTCTATTTATGCCATTAAACCCTCAAAATCACACCAACATGAGTTTACGGCCGTAAACTCATGTGTGTGTGTGTGTGTTTTGTGGTTGTAAACTCATCTAAATTTTTACTTATGGAGAGCAAACTCAAGTCCCAAGTCCGTAGTGCCATATTTCATCCGTAGATGTCACCCGGGTCACTCCAAACGCTTGTTTTGAGGTGTTTAACCTCGTTGGAGTGTAATGTCCTAAATAATTAGTGATTGTAAATCTAATTAGTATTATATGGACAATATTACATTTTACATAGGGACATCGCGAGTAAACAATCCCCGAACCAACGTCTAGTATCCAAAACAGACACATTTCCGAGTCCGATGAGTTCATACCCCTACCTTTTTCATTGTTTTTCACTATTTTCAGGGGGGACACAAGCAAAGTACAAGGGTTTTCTTGTACTCAAAACTTATTTTCATGTGTGTGTTTCACATTTCATATGCTTTTAATATTGATTACACAACTGATAACTAGTAGAATATACAAATCATTTAAACATTTATTTGTGAAATGGGTTTTATAAACTGTTATGTTTTATATATTTCACAAATGATTTCCACATTTTATTAGTTAAAAGCATGACTTTATAACACATGAACAATATATTTCGTACACTGTCTTGTCCTCGGTAACATTCCACAGAGATACGCGAATGGAGAATTATCCTATTATTACTAGTAAATTTGTTATTCTGTATGATTGGAGACATGTCCTCGGCGAACACTCCACAGAGATACACGAGTGGAGGACTACACCCGTAACCAGAAT